CTAGTTTATGGGGTCTGGCTCACGCAACTGCTACATGGACCCCGTGTATATTTACATAGCACGTGAATTGAATATTAATGTTACGAGTCAGTTTCCATTCACTTTCTCTCCTCTAGTGTCTTCTCTTTAAAAAGCAGGGGGAGCTTGTGTGCGTGTGTGAACTACTGTCAGATGGTAGGGAAAGCCGCGTTGTTCTTGACGAAAGAAATTTCTTTCCGGCACACTATGTGGTACAATATTTCTGTCCCCGAACTCAGTCTCTGGTGGCTAGTTGTTTAACCTCTCATCAACCGACTTCCTCATAGAGACTTCTTATTCCTAGATGCCTTCAACGATGTATTCCCTAACTTAAAGATGCAAGGTGCTGACAAACTTCTCACTTTTTTGGAACCTAGTGGTGTCTGATACAGCAGCCAGGAATACATAAGTGAGCCAACCGATGGTGAGTATCCACACATACGTGTCTGACCGGCTAGATCAGATATGCCCGCGGCCATAACGAGTATAAGTACACACGAGTCCGGCGGTCAACGCTGCCATGATCGGCATCGATCGTGATCTGTATTCATGAATTAAAGTTTAAACATGTTGAATTCTGGCCTCCCTTTGCGTTGCAACCGAAACCTCTCGTACCACACAGTTAGCTGTGTACTGATTTAGCCGGTGACTAGCATTATATATTTATCGATTTTTCTTATTTTCGTTTTACTTAAACTGTGTTTGGACGCGCCTATCACCTCAACCCCCTCTTTTTAGATGGAGCGCATTGTTGAGGAGTTGGTTACACACCCAGACCATGCCGAGGCATCGGGTACACTGAGTTTCTTCGAGATGCTGATGAAATTCTTTACCACATCGGGATGCTACCTTCTGCATGAGGAGTGCAGTGCTCAGCTAATGGAAGCCTGGTTTTCCTATCAATCAGCACTTCTTGATCTCACTTCAGTCTCCCCAGAAGCCACCACCATCACCACTGCTTGTTCGGGCGTCAAACTGGCCTACCAAATCTATGACCGCTTCCTCCAGGCTCTTTTTGACAAGGTACCCCTTCTTCTTAACTACAAGTACTTCTAGGTTTCTCACACTCCTGGGGACTTTCCGCCTGTTAGATACTAGCTCCTTGGTATGTCCAGACGTACTCGTACTTTCGTCTATGTTCGTGACCAATCTAGCCGGCTTTTATGGCTTCATTGGTTGTCCTCAACGCTATAGTAGATCCGGGAAACCCGATCCACTCTCCAACCCAACGCCATCATTCGAATACCTAGGTTCTAGGGGACACCTTCATGTCTATGTCTATCGCCTGCAGGTGTATACCGTTTGCTCGGGTACGTCCCGGAATCAGGGCGCCAAAATTCAACGGAAGGCGGTCCCCCTGTGCATCCCTCCCTTTTGTAGCATCACTTAGTACATCTTTTATTATTTATTTACTATTATTGTTATTTAGTACATTGATACTTTCCCTTTGCGACCGATGGTCATACAACACCATGTAACCCGGGAGAAGAATGAAGATCCACTCCTGGAAAAAAAGAGAAGAAGCCGATGGCTGCTGGTTCATCAAATTTATGAAGTTGTTCGAAACTCACGTAAACCCTTAATCTTGACTCAGTTGTTAGCAGTGACAGTGTCACTGTTATCGCGAACAAACACGAAGTATAGAGGGCCTAGCGTTAAGTAGTTTTCGAGTGTTGTCTACTCCGTGCTGGTCCGCACTTCAACCCCATATTTCTTTGAATCATCTCACACTGACGTTTTTGTCAGTTCCCAGAATTGACAGCAAAAATCACGGTCGAGAGACTTCACCAGACAACTGCATGGTTTTTGACCTAATCCAGTCGTGTTTGAATGCAGGTGGATTTCAAACAGTCACTTGAATAACTTCTTAGAGTTTGTCTCCTCTAGCTCTTTGGTTCAAGAACCTAGACGCACGACAGCAGTAGAAAACAGACGTATATAATAATGGTTTACGTTTACCGTGTCATAGTGTCACCACCAATCTTTTTGACAATTTATAAGGGAGTCCTCGCACCGGGCCTCGATCCTTCTCCCTCTGGCGCCACTAACTTTGTTGGCCCACCGCTGCATTTTTGTCAATCCTGAAGGTCTGTTAATTTCGCAAATAGCCCTCGCTAGAGGCCCCTGAACGCGTTGAGTGACCGGGAGTCACATTGAAGGCTAAACGCGTGTCCCCCCGGCATTCAGCTGTGGTGATCACTAAAGCTTCCGTTAGCTAGTATGAGTCTTGTTAAGGTAGGTAAATAAAACCCTACCGAATAGGCGATCGCTTATCATGTGGCAGCACTAATGTCGGAAACTGCCAAGTTTTTGGTTGAACTTTCACACCTTCCAGGATTAGAGCTTTGAGATCGGTGATGGAGTGAATAAGCTTGACATATGGTGTTAATTGTGTGAGCTTAGACACAAAATGTCTGAAGAGACTAGTAAAGGTTGGTAAAAGCTGGAAATGTACATTTGCACATGTTGAAGGGATTGTCAAAGTTGACTACGTTCCTTCCAGACAAACCTCCCAAGGAACATACGAGATCGAACAAGTTTCACAGTGGAAGCTAGAAAGTGGAATGCGTGATAGTCATTTGTTTCAATCTCCCGTTTACTCCTGCACGTAAATATTTTTGGTTTCTCTTTGCATCTTTCTCCGTAGTTCATCGTAAGGAAAAATGGTATTCGTATAAACCGGAACACATGCATCCCAATAAATTTTAATTTGAAGATGTTCTTTGGGATAAAAAGTAACTTTGGCGCCCCAACTCGTCTTCGAACTAACAGGAAAAGTGCAATAAACAACTAAAATTTCAAAACTGCCGAAAAAATAAATATTCATATAGGGTGAGATGTGATTAGTGGGTGTGGCCTCAGTTAGTGTCTGTCGTGCGGCCTCTGTTTTTCCCATC